GGACTGTGCTGCTATCAATTCAAGTACATACCAATTATAGTTATGGGCTTAGACACCTAATCCAACAAGATTTTCAACCCATTTAAGTTAAATGAGTTAACCCGCTTAACCCATTTAATTAAATAGGTTGGGTTGGATAAAAATTATCAACCCGTTTTCAACCCACCAACCCGTTTAACTTTAATATTTATTTAATTTGATAATTATTTGAATATTATCATGTATTGATCAAAATATTAATTTATAAATTATAATGTTGTATTATTATTTATGTTTTAAAAAAATGCAATCCTAATTCTCATCTTTTTTCATAACACCGATAATACTAGCTACTTTCCAAATCACTTCAAAATTAAACATTTTTAATGTTATTTAAACAATTTATATGTATTTGTGAATTATGATTGTGCTTTTGTCATACTTTGAAACTTTATTTACGGTTGAAACTAATTTAAATGACGTAATCTTTAGTTAATTTATTTATATTTTTTATTTTAAACGGGTTATCCAAATTTTAATCAGTTTATGAAGTAAATTGAGTTGCGAACTACATAAACAAGTACCCGGTGACAACCCATTTATCTAAAAGGTTGGGTTGGGTTGGAAATATCAACCCATTTAAATAAACAGGTTGGGTTGGGTTGAAAACTTCAAACCAATTAATAAATGGGTTGAACCCGAGCCCAAACCAGGTCGACCCATTGCCACCTCTATTCATTGAGGACTAAATCGGGAAAAAAAAAGTTAAAGAAGGATCAAACATCTAAACGAGTTAAAAGTCCAAAGGCCAAAGATAAAGTATCCCAAAAAGTTCGGATATGTGCAAAACCCGGTCGAGCCTTACAATTTAAAAACAAAGCCAGAAGTGCCCGGTTCTACTGCAAGCCGGAACAAGCAAATACAGGCTCAAACGGTTCAGCACATCTAACGGCCAAAAGCGAGTATACAAAATACAGTTGAATCTTTCCCTCCCCCATTTTTGATATATGCTACGTTAATCATTAAAATTTATTTACAATATGGTTTGGCGACTGGCTGAGATGTTATACGTTCATATTAATTATGGAAAAATTTGGGTGAAAACTAAAAATCAGAAGAGAGAGAAAGAGAGAGAAAAGGGGAATGGTTTGAGGGGGAGATGCATAAGAGGAAGGGTGGAGCGAAACTGGAAATTTGGTACATTGTTGAGATTCTTTAACGTTGTTAACCAGCCTTCTAGCCTTTCTCCGTATTGGCGTCGACTGAAGGTAACAACAGATCTTTCATGTTACTTTATACGATCCTATCACCTATTTGATTTAATCTCGTTTTCCACGTTCCAATATGTATGCATACCACCCATTGGATGAAATGCCTGACTGAAATTGAACACTTTTATTGTTCTTGTTTCTGATGTGAATTCGATTTGTTGATTCAGATCTTTGATTTGTATTGTTACAGGCTGGTGGACATCTGAAGAAGTACCCAAGTTTTAGTTTTTATAGCTTTTCTTCCCTTCTCATTTTACGAGAATATCGTGATTTGGAAGGGAAGGAAGCTGATAAAATCTACAAGAACAAGAATCCTTCCCTTATTGGCATACATACATTATATAATCTTTGTTATTTTCTAAACACCAAACATGACGGTTGTTTCCGGGGTGATATCTAGGCAAGTTGTGCCAGCATGTGGCCATCTTTGCTGCTTCTGCCCTGGAATCCGTACAAGGTCTAGGCAGCCTTTGAAGAGGTACAAGAAGCTCATTGCTGAGACATTCCCTGTATATCCGGTTAGTCTCCTATAAATTTATCAAAATTTCTATGTATATGTTATTATATAATCATGCTTATGTAACATATTTTGTTTTCAATTTAAAAAAAAGGAGGAAGAACCAAATGATCGTAAGGTTGGGAAACTCTGTGAATATGCTGTGAGGAACCCTTTACGGATCCCAAAGGTACTTTTTTTTTTGATGTAAATGATTCCTTTTATAATGAATGCTAATCATTTAATGTAAGTTGTGGCAAAAGCACAATCCATGATACATTTCTTTTGGACAATAAAAAGAATAAGGAACATTAACTTGCTTGGCTTCGTATGTATGAAAGATCTGAATGACATTTCATCATATAAGAAGTAGAACCAATATGTTGTTAATTTCCCATAATGTCCTTTTGTACCTCCAGATCACATATACCCTTGAGCGACGGTTTTACAAGGAAATAAGAAATCAGAACTTTCGAGGTGCAAGAATTGTCATGGCTATATACAGGAAGCTATTGATTTCATGCAAGGATCAAATGTGAGTTCTTTCCTGTGATATTTGATCTTATTCTTCCACCATGTCATGTATTCATGACCACATTTATTAAAGAATTTTGGAATTAAAAGAATACTTTTGTGTTTCGATGATCAGGCCCCTTTTTGCTAATAGTTTGTTAGCAATCATGCACACTCTGCTGGATGAGACACGACAAGATGACATGCAAATTATCGGATGCCAAACATTGTTTGACTTCGTAAATAGTCAGGTTTGTTTGTTTTGTTTGTTTTCATTTTCTTTATGTTTAGCTTCTGAATCATCAAGTCTTTTTGTGATTTGCAGAAAGACGGGACTTACATGTTCACCTTAGAAAAATTTATCCCTAAACTCTGTCAATTAGCTCAAGAAGTTGGGGAAGATGAGAGAGTGGTGCCACTACGTTCGGCTGGGTTGCAAGCTCTTTCTTCAATGGTATCTACCCTTTTCTTTATACTATACAATAGTATATAATAAGGGTATCAATTATTTTCTTTATTTTGTTGATGTGTTGTTTTTATAGGTTTGGTTCATGGGTAGATACTCCTATATGTCACCGGAGTTTGACAATGTAAGCATAATTACCACACCTAGTTTTATGTTCCTTGACTCATTTTTATTTACATTATTTGTTTTTTACAAAGTAAATGAGCTTTTAATTAATTAATGATTTGCATTACATAGATCGTTTCCGTAGTTTTGGAAAATTATGGAGCTCCAGGAAAGGACTCTTGGGTACGTGAAATGCTTAAAAATGATCGCAGTGTCACCCCAAAAGACGCTTTGGTGAAGGTTCAATCATGGCGAGCAATCGTTAATGATAAGGGTGAAGTAACTGTGTCAACGTAACTCCCTTCTCCAAAAACTCAAATTCTCAACTTTCCACCAGTACCTGATTTACATCTCACATCATACTTTTGGACAGTCTCAGGGGTTGTTGGAAGAATAACCCTTTTGACAATGAAATAGAGAAATAATTTAATACTGTATAACTTTTGTCATTTTTTCTTTTATACAGAGAAGATGCTAAAAGCGCAAGCTTTTGGTCTCGTGTGTGTCTCCATAACATGGGTAAGTTGGCTAAGGAAGCTACAACCATGAGGCGTATTCTGGAATCTTTATTCCGTTGTTTTGATAATGAGAATCATTGGCCCGCTTCAAGTGGGGTCGCATTCCCAGTACTCAAGGACATGCAGACCATAATCGATGAATCTGGTATTATTCATGGACTCTTCCATTTACTGTTTTTTGTTTGTTTCACTAGCAACAAATATTTTATTTGAAATTTTCAGGAGAAATTACGCATTTTCTGCTTTCGGTATTAGTCAAACATCTTGACCACAAAAATGTCATTAAACGACCAAACATGCAACTCGACATTCTAGAAGTTGCCACGTCACTCTCCCGTGAAACAAAGATAAAAGCATCTGTTGCAATAGTCGGTGCTATAAGTGACATCATTAGACATTTGAAAAAATGCATACATCATTCACTAACCGATGGAAACCTTGGAACTGATGTCATCAACTTTAACAAACAGTTCACAGAAGCCATTGATGAATGCCTTGTGGAGTTATCTTCAAAGGTATCATCATTATTCATTAGCCTCACCTTCATTAATATATTGCTAAAACACATGTCTTTTTATTTTAATGAATCAGGTTGGTGATGCTAGCCCTATTTTTGATATCATGGCTGACATGATGGAAAACATCTCCAGTGTTAAAGTTATAGCACAGACCACAGTTGCTGCTGTTTACCGAACTGCTCAAGTTGTCGCCTCTTTACCAAATATGGCATATAACAACAAGGCAAGGATCAATGATGATAACTTTATATGAATGATATTAAATAAATCATGCTTCAAATTGCTAAAATGAATGATTTATGTTTTTTTTTTTATACATGTAGGCATTTCCTGAAGCATTATTTCATCAGTTACTTCCTGCTATGGTTCATCAAGACAATGAAACTAGAATTGGAGCTCATCGTATCTTCTCTGTGGTTCTTGTTCCATCATCTGTTTGTCCTCATGCAAGTCCATCCATCGATTTGGATGATCCAAAAAGAGCTGAAATTGTTCCAAGGTCACTTTCCAGAAGTGTTTCTGTGTTTTCTTCTTCAGCTGCCCTCTTTCAGAAAATGCAAAAGGAGAAGCAGCTTGCTTCCAATAAAGGAGATCAAAAAACCAATAATGTTGGGGTCATGAATAAGATCAAGTCAACTTACAGCCGAAAGTATAGCATGAGAAATTCTTCAGCTGGTTCAGCAGCAGTTGCAAACAATGATATTGTATACTTTCTTTCAGTTACTGTCGTTTTCATTTTTGCATTTTCTGTTAATTTATATATTTCTGTTAAAAAAAAATAATAATACAGGAAGCAGTTACACTTCGGCTCAGTAGTCATCAAATATCTCTACTTCTATCTTCAATCTGGACACAAGCCATCTCCTCTGAAAACACACCTGAAAATTATGAAGCAATTGCTCACACCTACAGCTTGGTGTTGTTATTCTCTAAAGGGAAAGTAAGTAATTAGTTAATACCGGTTTCATCATGTTTCATTAAATATATTTTTCCTTTTTGTAATTTTTTTTATTTTTGAAAAACTGTGTAGAATTCTAGCCGTGAGGCTCTAATCAGAAGCTTCCAGCTGGCGTTTTCGTTGCTTAATATGTCTCTTTTGGAAGGAGGTATAGAAGGATCACTGCCAACATCGCGTAGAAGATCTCTTTATACATTGTCAATCTCCATGATAATTATCTCTTCTAAAGCTTTTGGTGTTGTCCCACTTGTCCCACTGGCTAAGGCTGCACTTTCTAATATGGTAAGAATTTGTCACTAAAATCTCATTTTTACCCTTGTGTAGACTTATAACCTTAATGGTGTCATGCAGGTTGATCCGTTCTTATGTTTGGTTGATGATTGCAAGTTGACCACTAAAGATGGATCAGATCAGAATCAGATTAAGTTTGGTTCTAAAGAGGATAATAAGGCTGCACAGAAATCCCTTTCGGATCTAAAGCTTGCAGACAACATGTCAGCAGAATCACTGGCTGCTGCAGTTGTCAAACACTTGGAAACTGTCGCAGGGGTAAACCTGTCATTTTATTTACTTGTGGATTGCAAGTGTATATATTGACTCAGAATGTGTTTGTTTATATGTGCAGACTGAAATAACTTCCATTAAGGAAGAGTTGCTTCACAAATTCGTGCCTGATGATGATGTATGTCCTACGGAATATGGGTTGGCAGATATCTTACAAAATAAGGGTCGCTTCAAAGATGATGTAAATCAAATCCTCTTGAATATTTATAATTTTTTTTTTTTTTTAAATCTTTTTACATATGATGTGTTGATTTCTGTAGGTTTCTCCACTCTTTTCGCTTGATGATGATATCACTAAAGCAGATTCAGAAACGGCTTTTGATATGGATCTCTGGAGTGTCGATCAATTGTTAGACTCAGTAAGTCTTTTTAGTTACTGTAGTTTATAAGAACGATTATGATTATTTATTTAAATATTGTGTAGGTGATGGAATCTGCACAACAAGTTGGTAGACTGTCAGTATGCAATGCACCTAATATGTCTTTCTTGGAAATGACCAATCACTGTGAGAAACAAACAAAAATGTCCACTATGATGAGCATGAACCAGAGGCAAAACAATGGTGACACAAACAATCAATCGGTATATACATATATACATACATGCATACATATATACATATTGGTTTGATATGTGGCTTACATATTTTTTTAGCAAGCTGGCGATGGTTTGAATGAACACAATGGAGCTCCTGGTGCAAGTAAATCTGGTAATGAAGGTGTAACAGATCAGATTTCTCCTCTACCAACATCAAGTCCATATGATAACTTCTTAAGAGCATCTCAATATTAAGGATGACATGTTCAGCCATTGAAGGTCCTATCCTACGTATGCAACCCTGAACTAGTGAAAGGAGAACATAAGAAAGGCTTTTTAAAGTTGGCATTAATTAATTATTTGTCTTGATGATTTTAGTCTTAAAAGGTATTTCAGCAATGTGAGTTATTCTTTTTTGACACATTATATGTACATGCCATTTTTGGCCTTCTTTCTTGAAGGTGAGTGAATGTAAACCGTTGAGACTGTAAGTCTGTAACTAATAAGAACAAGTCGTGTCTTACTCATACCCTTTTCCGAATAAATGGTTTGCTTAACTAAATTAGCGTGCATCCGTCTAACAACAAGGACCTTATAAATTTATAATTGTACAAGATGGATTGATTCACTCTAAGTTGTTTGTTTAAGATTGTATTGAGGATAGAGTACTTGCATTTAGTTCATCAAACGCTAATGATATGTTCAATCCGCTTTCATAAGAGCTAAACTTGTGTATATTTAATGGGAGCTTTTTTGAAGGGTCCAATATTATTAATCAACTCCAAAAAGAAATGGTAGAAAAAGCAACCTCCGTTTATTTCAAAGCAAATTTAACCAATCTAAGTCGTTGAAAAGTGTCTTTAATTTAAAGGGCTTACTTGATTAAGCCCATGAAATAAAAAGCAAACAATACCCTACTCTAACTAGAAAAGAAGCATCCTTTGAATCAATCTCTAGTTGCTCAAGTATTTGCCATGTTCACCGAAAAACAGGCAAAACCTTAACATCATCCAAGAGAGGGCCACAAAAGTGACCATAATCATTAAGCTTGGTATGGTAAAAAGCACTAAAGAATGTGAGTCTTGTTCTAGCCGAAATCGCTTGAAACTGAAAGCTAGTGGACTTAAAACCTCCATTTCCTGTAGACTCAAACTTCACTTTTAAAGTTTCATTTGCTGCAAAAGCTTCCACCATCATGGATCCATGGCAGCTGTTCTTTGCGTCTCCAATGGTGAATGATAGTTTGTAGAATTTCTTAGGGAATGTACGAATGATTTGGGATATAGCAGTTTCTCTCCCTCCAGTCAACTCAATGGCAGCTTGACCCTCGGGAACTCGAAAGTGTTTTGAGTCAATGTACTTCACTGGTTTTAGTGACTCCACAATCCACCCGGGAAGTGGTGAGATGATGTCATGTATTTTGGGAAGGAGGAGAACTCCTGTTGAGAAGTTCTTGAACACATGAGGTCCATTCTCAAAACCCCCATTTTTCACCAAATATCCTGCATTATTTTCTAACATGTTAGCTCAAATAACACTAATTATATTAAAGATCCATAAAAAGATAAGAGTTTATCATTTATTATCCGATGTAATTAAGTGGAGAGAGACGAGGATATATAATACGTACCTTTAGTGTATCTTAGAGGACGCATCTCTTTGATGGCAATGGCATCCAAGAGAGGTCCACAGGTAGGGTCCTCTTGAACACCAGGGTTACGAAAACTGATCTTCACACTACCAGAAGTAGCCTTGAAAGCAAAAGCATAAGTGTCTCCTCCATCACTGCTATACAAAGTTTGAATCGGAAGGTCACTTGACTGGCCGGAAGCCGACACCCTTAGCACCTCGTCTTGAGCACAAGTTCTTGTTGCAGAAAATGTGAGCGAATAGGTTGATCCAACCTTTAAATCAACAACTTGCGATATGGAGGCTTCATTCCCAAGCCTTGCTGCATGAGCCCCACGAGGGATCGCGAAGTAGAACCCACCCGGCTGTGGCCCACCGGAGACATACTCCACCAAGCCGGAGATTTCCCATTTCGGCAAGGAATACCTCCCTATGAGCACTGTTTTCTGGAGGTCTGATGGTTTTGGTCCTTCTTCAAAGTTCCCATTTGCAAGTAACCCTAAATAAAGACAAATCAAAAGATTAAAAAGAGTTGATATCGATCTTGCAAGAAACCCTATATATAAACCCTAATGGACAGAACACACGTAATAAAGAGGACTTGTTACACGAAACAGTAGCTTTACCATCAAGAAATGGAGTATGAGCAGCAGCTTGAGAGTATGACAAGCTTAAGGAGAGAACGGAAAAAAAGATAAGAGACTTCAAGAAAGTCATATTATGCATAGTATATAGGATAACAATTACAGAACCTATATGTATATACATGTAAGGGAAACATTAAAGATTGGAAACTTAAGGAGGGACAGACCATGTTCAATAAGCACAAAGTTAGGAGCAAAATGCGTGGGTTTGGGTGTTGGGTTCAAGAAAACCGGGGTGTGATGTGAGACTGTGAGTGTTATTGGTTACTGTGATTGCTCTCTTTTTCGTTCTTTGAATTTGAAGAACGTTCGATTCTTAACTCCAAATTGCTTCATACAGATTCCAAATGTTGGTTCCATGTGTCACGTGGTGAAGTCGATCGCTTTAATGAAGTACACTATATAATACATAAAGGTTGTGATGTAACCATGAATTCACCTTAATTAATGATATTAATTTGTTTGTCTGAAAACATAACTTCCATTCTACTCTACGAATATCACGTTAATTAATGATATTAACTTGTTTGTAGAGCGTATAATAATTTTAAGATATAAAAGATAATTATAAACTACTAAAAATATTGTAAAAAAAAGATTTTGACAAATATGATATTTAGGTTTATAAATGCTAAATATGATATTTAAAAATTAAGTTGAACAAATATTATATTTTGTTGTTTAAGAAAAGCATATACGAAACTCTCTCTTCAACAAATTATACACATATAATATCTCATTTGCGGTATGAGTATATCCATCGGAATGCTCCATATCCTTTTGAATTTCTCAAAAAAGCCAGAGAATTTTTTTAACTAGGTTTAATTTTTTGTAAGACAATACTAAAAACCAATATGGGTAGGAAAAAAATTGAAGCTAATAGAACTATAAATTTTCTAAGATAGTATACAAGAGATGAAGGTGTTTAAAAACAATTTCAAATCATGATTTCACAACTTTGGGTGCTATTTTTGTAAATCAATGACAAGCAATACTGGACAATAAACTAACTAAAAGAGTACTAAGTCGTCTCTAACTTCTTACACTATTCAAAAACAATAGAAGAAAAGCAATTACATGTGTGCTAAAAAGGTTAAAAAACTGTTTATTTCCTTATCATTACATATTGCAATTATATAGGGTTCAAGTGTTTAACAAGTATAAATGTGAAAAATGGAACTTTTGAATTCATAATGAAGTAACCAAAGATGTTATTTGAGATGGGAGGGTAGGGTAAGGGAGGGATGATGATGGGTTATGATAGGTGATTGGTGATTGTCTCTTTTAAGGCAGTTTGAAGTGGGCATCAAAACCTTCAAAAGGATGTGCGTCGTGCGCGCAAACACCACCATCGCATGGCATTGTTAGGCGTCATGGTGATCAATTATAGCTGGGTTGATGCTTAACAACGTCTCATTTTGCTTCCCCAACGGCCACAAGGCCGTTTAACCATGTCAAGTATGTCGTAACAGGCCAAAGTGGGTACTTCAATCAGAATAGTCTTTGCAATCTAATGGATCAACAATGGAGAACATCAGAATCGGACGTCGGTGTAAGAGTCGACCTGAACGAAAATTACGAGGATTCTCTACCGGAGGTATCATTGAAACGACTGACTGGAAGGGATAAGGCGTGACAAGAAGGACCATCATCGGGAAAAAAACATCGTTGAATTTGTCATGGAAAAGTTTGCATCAAAACTCTCGATCTACATTTGGAATCGTTGAATAAGAAATTCCAACACAAAGAAAAAATCAATTTGAAACAACAAAAGTTGGCTATGGAACAATAAAAATTGGTTATGGAACAACAAATAATGACCGATATGCAAATGTTGAACATGGAGTCGAATCCAAACATTTTGACAAGAGATCTCGAGGCGTTCAACAAAATTAAAGATTGAGTTCATGAAAAATTAGGCCTTTAATTTTTCATATTTAAGTTTATTTTAGATGTTATTTAATTTTTATTTGGAAAAACCATAGAAAAACCCTACGTATTATACGTCAGTGCTTAAAAAAACCCTTATATATATATATATATATATATATATATATATATATATATATATATTGGTGATTTTAGTGTCACCATGTCATTTTAAGTAACTGGAACTAACATGTGAGCTAAGG